GCACCCAGCGCACAAGCATTAAGATAGAGAGCAGGAGCTGGACTTCTAGGGTGAAGGGGGTGTGGCTAGAATGCTGGTGTGCTCCCGGCAGCCGGATCTGCTGGAACAGCCTGTTTGGCGCTGTTGCAGCCCCGAAACAAAGCAACGATTTGAGTTGATCTAGGAACTGGACTGATGTCTGGTATTCACTTGTGCCCTTTTGAGACCCCCCCAGGATCAGAACCTGATTTTCAGTAGTACTCACACTGCCGGGGTCCTGGCCACCGGTCCGGGGGGCTCTGCATTTTAATTTAATTTTAAATTAAGCTTCTTAAACATTTTAAAAACCTTATTTACTTTACGTACAACAATAGTTTAGTTATATATTAAAGACTTATAGAAAGAGACCTTCTAAAAACGTTAAAATGTATTACTGGCACGCGAAACCTTAAATTAGAGTGAATAAATGAAGACTCGGCACACCACTTCTGAAAGGTTGCTGACCCCTGTTCTACACTATCAGTTATTAAGGCGAACTCTTTACTGATTTCATTGTAGTTCTGCTTAAAAACTGATGGTACAATATGGTCCTGCATATTTATTTTATTTTGTCTACATGTATTACATGTTTTATACCTTCATTTCTGTAGAAATACATAGAAACAAATACAAAAACACCACATGAATCAATCAATACAAAAACAAACAAATTACAAGTGAGATAGGCCTTATATGCCAACAGGATAAGAGGGAAGATGTGGCCAATGGAAGTCTTTGATCCTTCCTGAGGGATCAGCAGGAAACGTATAGGGAGACTTTTGGTGGCTCTCCTCTCCACACCCAAAAGGAATAGGAATTTCAAATGAAGCCACATCTTCTCTGACAGGAGAAGAAATGCCCTCTGGGTTGGAGAGACAACGAGGATAGTTCACTCAATCTCTTCATCAAAAGTATCCCTTCCTTATTAATACATACAGTATTCTGCAGCAATGGTCATAAGGGAGCTGCTGCCTTTGGATTTTACCTGTGTGGGAACATTACATGCTTTGTAGATTCATATTAGGGGAGGGGGAACTCTACCGCTGTTATTAGGAATGCAGATGAACAAAAACAGAAGATCCAGTAGATAACCTTTCACTACCAGTATTCCACACTGCCTGAAACATATCAGCCCGCATTCTTTCTCCCTCCAAACATTCTGTAAATAGATTTTAATGAGCTCTTGGAAGCTTATCTGTTAGGACAGTTTCAACCCCCAAGAGTGTTTAAAATGAAATTCCCCACCATAAATCTCTCTGACTTACTTAACTGCCCAGAACCAGCCCTGTCTGTTTTATTACATACAAACACAAAAACGTTATAGACAATGACACAGCAAAAGAGTAACTTAACAATACAAACCAAACAGAACAGGCATTGGACATAAAAATATCCATAACTTCCAGATATCTGAGGGTATGTCTACACTACGAGGGTAGTTCGATTTTACTTAAATCGAATATGTGTAATCGATATTGCAAAGTCGAACGTGTGTGTCCACACCAAGGAGAGTAATTCGATTTTGTGAGTCCACACTAACGGGGCGAGCGTCGATATTGGAAGCGGTGCACTGTGGGCAGCTATCCCACAGTTCCCGCAGTCCCCGCTGCCCATCGGAATTCTGGGTCGAGCCGCCAATGCCTTCTGGGTAAAAAAAATGTGTCGTCATCCGTCCGTCACTAACGCCCTCCCTCCCTCCATGAAAGCGCCGGCGGGAAATCAGTTCGCGCACTTTTCTGGTCAGTGAGAGCGCGGACGCCACAGCACTGCGATCATGGATCACGCTGCGACCATCGCTGCACTTCTGGCCGTTCTCAACACCTCGCAGCTTATCATACACCTTACCCTGAGGCAGATGCAGAGTAATCAGGCGAGGAGGCTACGACACCGCCGTGATGGCCTGAAGTCGGAGAGTAGCACAGAGCTGTCAGAAAGCATGAGCCCCAGCGCCCAGGACATCATGGTGGCAATGGGTCATGTGGATATCGTGGAACGGCGATTCTGGGCCCGGGAAACAAGCACGGACTGGTGGGACCGTATAGTGCTTCAGGTCTGGGATGAATCCCAGTGGCTGCGAAACTTTCGCATGCGGAAGGGGACTTTCCTCGAACTTTGTGAGGTGCTGTCCCCTGCCCTGAAGCGCCAGAATACCAGGATGAGAGCAGCCCTCACAGTTGAGAAGCGAGTGGCCATAGCCCTCTGGAAGCTTGCAACGCCGGACAGCTACCGGTCGGTTGCGAACCACTTTGGTGTGGGCAAATCTACCGTGGGGGTTGTTGTCCTGCAAGTAGCCAATGCAATCGTGAAGGTACTGCTCCCAAAGGTAGTGACCCTGGGAAACGCGCAGGTCATCATAGATGGCTTTGCCGCGATGGGATTCCCAAACTGCGGTGGGGCTATCGATGGGACTCACATCCCTATCCTGGGACCGGACCACCAGGCCAGCCAGTACATCAATAGAAAGGGCTACTTTTCAATGGTGCTGCAAGCACTGGTGGACCATCGGGGACGGTTTACAAACATCTACGTCGGATGGCCGGGCAAGGTTCATGATGCTCGCGTGTTCAGGAACTCTGGTCTGTTTAGACGGCTGCAGGAAGGTATTTACTTCCCAGACCACAAAATAACTCTTGGGGATGTGGAGATGCCTACAGTCATCCTCGGGGACCCAGCCTACCCGCTAATGCCCTGGCTCATGAAGCCCTATACTGGCGCCCTGGACACAGAAAAAGAACTGTTCAACTACCGGCTGAGCAAGTGCAGAATGGTGGTGGAGTGTGCTTTTGGCCGTCTCAAAGGGAGATGGAGAAGCTTACTCACTCGCTGTGATCTCAGTGAAACCAATGTCCCCATTGTTATAGCAGCTTGCTGTGTGCTCCACAATCTGTGTGAGAGCAAGGGGGAGACCTTTATGGCGGGGTGGGAGCTAGAGGCAAATAGCCTGGCTGCTGATTACGTCCAGCCAGACAGCCGGGCGATTAGAAGATCCCAGCGGGACGCCCTGTGCATCCGGGAGGCTTTGAAAGCTAGGTTCCTGAGTGAGCAGGGCAACCAGTGACTTTTCAGTTTGTGGACAGAAAAGCTGAACCTGCCCCCGTTTCTTTACCCAGTTCATTTTCACTATA